CCCGACCCCCCCTCTCGCCCCCTCAGGGCTGGACCCGATCCCCTCAGCCCCCCTCCTCCCGGGCAGCGACCGATCCCTTCAGCACCCCTTTCCCCCCTCAGGCAGGGCCCCATCTCCTCCCGCTCCGCAGGACCTGAGCCCCCAGCCCCTCAGGGTAGGAGCTGACAGGACCCCGTCCCTCCCCTGCTCCCTGCCATGGCAGGGTCTGCGCCCTCCTGCCCCCTGCCAGGACCCTTGCTCACAAACCAGAGCCCCCCGGCACCGGCTGAGCTAGGCTGGGGAAGGGGCACCAGGAGCTGCCCACCCTGCCAGGGAGGGAGATTCTCCAGCAGGCTCCATTGCTCTCCTGCAGTCGGCCATTTGCCCTCCTCCTCCTCCCCACCACCTGCAGCAGAGCCAGGCCAAGCTGTGGGGGCGGCTTCCCACACAGCCCCAGAACCCCTCCCATTGCCCATTCCCGTGCAGGACTAGGATCCAGCCCCAGGCCACTAATGGGCACCAGGCACAGAGCAACAGGGCCCTGCCAGAGCAAAGGCCCTTCACCTCTCTGCCAGCCCTGGGTTCAGTTCTCACTTGACTGGTGTTTGCGGTTTGATGGCAGTGCACAGCCCTGTTCCACACAGCCTGGCCTTCCTTGCACTGCAGGGTTACACGACCATGCGCGCTCGGGGCATTGAGGAAAGCTGCCAGGGTGTGGGGTCTTTCCTGAGTAGTGTTTTCCTCTGTGGCTATTCTTTACCTGTCTATGGTTTGTTTTTGCAGAACTGGACGAGGGGAATGTCTTACTGTCTCCACTCAGAAAGCCATTTGGATACTGGGCCAATATATGTGCGTGAAAATGGGAAGCTGCACGTGGTAAATCAGGGTGCAGGCGGCATACAGAATGTCACTCCCAAAACAAGACCTTTTAGGCTGTTTTCCAGAGGATTTTCGGTGGAGCTTTGTATGAACAGGGAGGACGATAGGGCAAGGAGGCAGAGGACTGATCATTTCATCTTCACGTACACTAAGGAGGGGAACCTCCGGTACTCGGCCAAGTCTCTCTTCAGCCTGGTGCTGGGTTACATTTCTGACAATGTTGATCACATTGACTCGTTGATTGGTTTCCCAGAGCAGATTGCTGAAAAGCTCTTTTCAGCTGCAGAAGCAAGACAGAAGTTCATGGAACCAGTAACGGGACTGAGAGCTCTACAGAAGTTTACTGAAGCATATGGCAGTTTGGTGCTATGTTCATTATGCTTGCGGAATAGGTAAGTGTGTTCAGTAACAAATGTCATCGTCTGCTAGTGCTTTTTGCTAGCACACTTAAAGTTTCCATTAAATTATTTTCTCTCAAAAATAATAAAAAAGAAATCTCTTGGGCCTTACGACACCACCTAATTTTCATGAAATTACCTGAGCCTTGTCTTTCTTACTTTGCTGCTTGCTTCATTTTGTCCCATTTCCATTCCCATTTTGTCCCAAGTAACAAGCGATAGGATGAGAGGAAATGGCCTCAAGTTGCGCCAGGGGAGGTTTAGACTGGATATTAGGAAAACTTCTTCACCGAAAGGGTTGTCAAGCATTGGAACAGGCTGCCCAGAGAAGTGGTTGAGTCACCATCCCTGGAGGTATTTAAAAGATGTGTAGATGTGGCACTTAGGGACATGGTTTAGTGGTGGACTTGGCAGTGCTAGGTTAACAGTTGGACTCGATGACCTTAAAAGTCTTTTCCAACCTAAATGAGTCTGTGATTCTATGATTTTATGATTCCTTTCCTACAAGGGCAGCTGCTAGTTTCATTCTAAGATACAAATCATAATACAGGTAACAGACTACATGCGTGTTAACTAACAGGGAATTTTATGTGAAGGATTAAACCTGCAACTATTTTTTAACAATAATAATCAGCACTTCCATAGCAATGTGTGTGTTTAATGCCTTCTCAGGTATTTCATGGGACGTTTTTGTAATTGCTGTTTATAAGCATTTCAACATACTTAGCTGACTGTACAGATAAAATACACCCTTGCAAAACGTCTGGGTTTATTTACTATAAGCTTGCTATCCTGTTTCATTTTGGGGGCTCAGAAGAAGATACAGTCTTGTAGGTAAGTTACAGGCTTTGAAGTCAGGCAGGTTTATTGTGGTTCCCATCCCCATATTGAACATGTTTTAACGAGGTTCTGATGAGAGTCCAGCACCAGTTTTTCTATCTTCTCAATGTCCACATTGTTTTTCACTAAAAGAAAGTCTTACAAAGCTTAAAACTGGATTATGTTTTTAAAGCCTTGCTCCTACTAAAGTCTTTCCCAGTAATATAACCAGTCTGTCTTCCATCTGTACACTTGAAAAAGGGATGGTTTATCCAGTTTAAAATCAAAGTACAGGCATATTCATCTGAAGTGCCAAGGGTGTTTTGAGCACAGTAGGAATGTTTGAGCAGAGGTCAATTATCCTTTGTTTTATCTTTTAAACCTACTCCCTTTTTATCTCTAGTACAGATACTTTTTGTGGGCTTAATTCAGAAATGAAGTTACCTCTGGCATCTTTTGCCGTTACAGAAAGCCGAGTTAAGTATTGAGCCTTTGAAATCCAGGAAGTAAGATATTAAGGCATTTTCTGATGAATCTTATTTCTAAAAGAGCCTACTCTTCTCTTCACAACCCCCTTGAGTTAGTAGTATCTCTCAAGAATTGGCTTGCACTCTGACTATACATACTGCCTTCCGCATAGCTGAATTGCATGGCAAAGGGATTTGGTGGGGTAGTTTGATAGGTATACTTGCAGTGGGAGGATATTAAGGTCCCCTTATTTGCATGGCCAAAGAGGTGTTCCTTGAGGGATCAAATTAGTAAGCGCCCCTCATTTCAGCAGTGAAGATGCTGACCTCGGGGTTTGTCTTGCTGTGGGGAATATAAGGTAAATTCAGGAGAGATTAGTGAATTTGGGGCTTGTCTTGCCACAGGGACAATAAGAAGTAAATGCAGAGGAGATTGGTGAGGTAGTGACTGCTACGTGCTTATTACTGCATATTCATGCATGCCATTCTTGAGTGGTTTGTTCCCATCTCTAAACCTCCTACTGAATAGTTCCAGCACAGATGTTTGCATGGCTGCAGAGTGAATCAGATCAGGGAACCAACGCAGCTAGAAAAATAACCCACTGAATAACTACTGCCTGGGGTGTAGTGACAGCTCTAGTTGGAGTCCTGCAGGTGTCCTGTAGGACTTTTCTCTCTAGTGAAGTATTTTATTTACGTATATAAAAAGTAAAATTTTGCCATTTGACAAGCTATCCTGATAAATTTGAAGTAGATTTTAAACCTGGATGAACGTGGGTTTGTCTACACACTTCCTAGATACTGAGGAAGAGCAGTTTGTGAAGTTGATTTATGGTAATCTGGAATATATATTCTGCATTATTCTGAAATAATACAATAATAATCTGTAAAGAAGTCCCTAACTGCGATGTTTGCAAGTTGAAGTCTTAATTGTTAGTCCAATATTTTGAATGAAAGCAAACCCATGACATTTGTTCAAGGAAAAGACTGGGAACTCAGATGTGTTGTGTGCAGACTGCACATAAAAAGGTAGTTAGGACAGCTGGCTAATTTCTGTCAATTTTCACATAGGTACTTACAAGAAACGACTGTGTTATGCTTGTGACACTTGAGGATATAGGTGCCTACACTGATAGCTTTTTGGGTTTTTTTTTTCTCTTTGCAGATACCTGGTTATCTCTGAAAAGCTAGAAGAAATTAAGTCTTTCCGGGAGCTGACGTGTTTAGATCTCTCCTGTTGTAAACTTGGAGATGAACA